ATTAATTTTTCTAAATGTTTTAGTATAAATAAATTATTTTTAATTACAGTTAGCCATTAAAAAACTGTTATAAAAATTTTTAAAAACATATATTAACTTTTTAATAACGTTTAAAACGTAAACTAAATTCCAAACGCAATTCAAGCAATAAATATTTCTCTCACAAAGTTCACAATGTGGCAACACTCTTAACAGCAGCGTGAGCGCAATCATTTGTTTACAATATTAAGTAAAAATAAAAGGTATTGATTTACTGTACTGTTAAAAGAAAAAAACAACAAAAAATAAAAACAAGTTCTAATTGTTAATTATAATTAAATCAATTTATTACTTTTAAAACTTCGTGGATTGCAAAATAAGTGAAAAGTCGAAGTGAATCAATTTTATAATTAAAAGTGGTTACGCATCCCTTTTTACATAATTTCCATTTTGTTCTTTTGAGTTTGGTAAGTGCCAAAGGAGTGACATGTGTTCCACCTGTTTTATCTTGATTTCGCCTTTGCGGTGTTCTGCTTGTTTTGATTTTAATTAACCTCAATGTCATTACAAGTTTTTATCTGTAAACATTTTGCATTATTTTGCGCAACGCAATTTACGCTTTCGGCACGTAAAACTCTAACATTTACTTTATTTATTAACGTTTAGATCGATTTCACCTACGCATTTTTTATTTGGAATTTATGGCTTCTAATGCACATGTTGGAAAAATCGTGCTTGCTATTTCAGTGTCAGTATTTTTGTATTATTTCTTTTGGGTATCAATATTGCCATTTATGCTGATTGATGAAGGTAAGTGCAGCTGCTAGAATAACATTTAATTTAAACTTATTAAAATAATTAACGTTTTTATTTTTTTTTTCTGTTACATTAAGATTATGATTTTGGCAGTGTCAAGGAATTTTTATAGAAAGCCATTGATTTAGATTAAATATTGCAAGCAAGTGGATCCATACGTTGGTACTGATCAGAACATAAAAGTAACTTCCTTTCCCTACTTTGTTTATGGAATACATTTCTCAAATATTCCTATATGACAAATTAAAACAAAATCCACAAATTGAACAATTTATAAATACTGCGATTAAAATATTATTTAATTTATTTATATTTAAATATTAATTATTAGTTTATCTCGTATGAGATACGGACTACTTAGGCGGATTTTTATTTAATAGATATCTCGCATCCATTGCTTAAGAAAATTAACAAACAATAGTTGTTACTGTGACTCTTGTTTTAACCTAAAATAAGTTATCTTTTTTCAGTCCCAGTTTGTCGTCTAAAAAAATAAGTACGTTTGATACATTGTTGTTCTTGCTGTAGTACTGCGTGGTTATCTATATGACAGACAATATGAAATGAATTACAAATATATGACTTAGAATATGGACAGGTAAAGCAAGTGGTAAGTAAAAAGGGAATGGTTATAAGCAAGAATGGACTAAGGTGGATTTTTATTTAATAGATATCTCGCATCTATTGCTTAACAGAATTAACAAACAATAGTTGTTATTGTAACTCTTATTTTAATCTAAAATAAGTTATGCTTTTTCAGTCCTAGTTAGTCGTCTAAAAAGACGAGTACGTTTGACACGTTGTTGTTAACTCTAACCCCAACTATCCACTCCCTTACCCATGTATTTGTCTTGTAATCCTTACATGTTATCTGCTTTCAGATCCCGGCGGGATACAACAACAACAACACATTGTTGTTACTGTAGTAGGTTGTGGGGATCTATATGAAAGACAGCATGAAAATTACAAATACATAGTTTAGAATATGATTAGGTAAAGCAAATGTTAAGGAAAAGAGGAATGTTTGTGAGCAAGAGTGGATATTGAATAAATAGAATTTTAATTGAAGCTTACCTAAGTCGAGGTGGAGAAACCTAGATTCATCAATGGTAACCAGATAATTTCAGGATCGGTCTAAAAATTGAGATTTCCAATTACCAAAGGGAAGAGAGAATATACCTTTAACATGCTAATGTTATTGTAACCGAACATTGACCTGAAATCAAGCACATTAAAGTTAGACAAGGCATGTGCATAATAGATCAATCTGGTCGCAGTACATAAAGGCCCTAGCTTTAGCCTAATCCATAAACCATTATCATTAGGCAAAGCATTGCACAATGGGATAGAATAGGGAAGGTTATATAAAAATGAGGAATAAAAATAAAAGGAACAGAAAAAAATGTTAATCGAATCTGAGTTCGGCACACAGAGCAGGCTTTTGGAGCCATTAATCAGTAGTAGACAATTAAGTTATGTTCAGAAATACTCTTCAGAAAATTAGATCATAATGTATGCTTCAAAAGTAATAAATAAAAACAAAAATATTTATAAAAATTATTATATTTATTCATAAAATTTCTAAAGAAATTCATTACAAAAATTATCGTTTAAAAATCAATTGCCAAGCTTATCGGTCTTTTAGGCACTGCTCAGTTAAGAATGAGATAATGTTACGGATTTCGGAACAGCTCAAGTTAATTAGTTTTCTAATACTAAATGGGTTAACAGATGGTGAGGCTTTTCAAAAGTAATTCTATCTAATTAGTTATTACTTGTAACAATAAAAAGTTTTTAGATTTACAGACATTATTTCAAGATCTTGATTTTTTAGTCACAAAACACCTGTAAAAATAGAAACTCAACTCAAAGCACTAAATTTTAATTAGCTGTTATAAGCAAATCGAGCACTGTTTTAATTTAACTTTTTAATATTTAAAGTTGAAGATTTTGCTGCGTTGAGAATTATAATCAAGAAATCTTAATATTTTGAAAGCGGAGAATATTATTTTCTTAATGGTTTCAAGAACAACCTGGTTCGTCAATTTCGATAACCAAGTACCGTTCACTATCCCCTAGAGGTTCTTCATAATCCCAGCAACAACAACAACAACATTTCCTCAGTAATTATTCTTGCCTGTTACCAGTTTATATTGTTAATTCTAAATACTTGACAATCGCATTGTAATCTAAAATGTTATTAAATATTTTATAATTGTAACTGCAAATGTAATGTGAATAAATGTAATGGATTCCAATACTCGGAAACCAATTCTAAACTTTTCTAAAAATTGACTAAGACTAGGCTTACTGACCTATACTTTATACATTATTTATATCACTTATAGAATATTTTTTGTCATACTATCTTCAATATAAACAAAAATAAGATGAGAAAGCAATAAAATATAAAAAAATAAATAAGTAATAATAAATATAAATATTTACTAGGCATTGTAAATGTTAAGAAAACTTTTTATTATAGCGTTGCATATGTACACCCAATATATATATTCTACATATATATATAATGCATATATATATATATATATTATGCAGTGAATTGTATGATATTTTTCGTTTTCAATTATAATATGTCGGCTTACTTTTGTGCTTTAATTAATGTTGATTAAGCACAACTGAAGAAATAACTATAATAATTCCATTTTTCATTTTTCTTTGTAGAAAATCTGTTACATTCGTTTTTTCCACCGCTTGAGTACGCATTCATTGTGCCCGCTGTTTTCGGTGTAATCTTCCTTGGAGGCATAGCAATATTTACACTTTACCATATGTGGACTTATGTGAAATCAAAAACAATTTAAAACACTATTCAATTAACAGAAAAAAAACCACATCAAATTATTTTGCAATACTTCCAGAAGAGATAAGAGAGAGAGAGAGATTGGCAAAAACTAAATTCAGTTCCAAAAGGTCAAGCAAAGTAGGAAGTTTATCACAAAATCAAATCAAAATTTTATAATAATAAATTAGACTCTCATATGAACTCAAAGTAAAGTGGAGGATTAGTTTATTGTAGATCAATAATTAAAACGAACATGCCACAGTGGTTGGTAATTGGTGTCTCTGGCGTCACCTGTGGTGGCAAAACGACTTTAGCGCATAGTCTACGTGATTATTTTCAAAGTCAACGTAATATACAGCTTTGGAACACACCATATGTTATTTGTGATGTGCAGTTACTATCACAAGATGACTATTTCTTACCTGTCGATGATCTACGTCATAAATGGATTGAGAAACTGAATTGCATTAACTTTGAAGTAATCACTTCATTGGATATGAAACAAATGTTATCGGATATAACTTGGACTATGAAGGGCCGATATTTGGCTACTGATCCAATAAACAATATCGACTACATTAAGGATGTGGGTATATCTAATAATTTTGAACATTATGCACCACAAACACATCACTATCAAACGCATCACTACAATCAAATCTTAAATCATCATCCGACGCACATAATGCGTGTAAGTACGCACTTGTCACAGGCACGAGATAATAAAATAAATATTTTGATTCTTGAGGGTTTCATGATATTCAATCAACCGGAATTGCTGACGTTATGTAATTTGAAATTTCATTTTCATTTACCATATGAAAAGTGTTATGAACGTCGTCGCAAACGCACTTATGATCCACCAGATGTTACGGGCTATTTTGAAATGTGTGTTTGGCCGTATTACGAGAAGAATTTTGCAGCTTTCCGCGATAGGAAAGATATAATATGCTTGAATGGTGAAATCAGTAAAGAAAGAATCTTCAAATATGTGTTAGAGAGGATTATGTCTTATTTCGAAGAACGCTGTGACGTGGCTTGTCCACCTCCTCATAAATTACTTGGCATTCCAGGCTGTAGTAATGGCCAAATTACTAAAGTATGCCCCATGGAACAGCAGTAAATTATGGTTTATGGTCTCCGTTTTATTTTGGTTAGGGTTATTTATTATTAAAATACGAAATTTAAATTTAACGTGGTTATAAAAGAAGCTTTTAACTGGTTTAAAACTTTTAACTATTTATTTGATACAAATAAATTCTTTATGTAAAGGAAGTTTAACACATACTATGTAAATATGTACATACACAACATTTATATGAAAAAAAACAAGTTCATTATATGAATTAAAAAATAAATATATTAAAAAAAATAAAAAAATTTGTTAAACTTAGTTGAATATTAAGATTGTAATAATTGGCTTCATTTTCAACAATAAGATTTAAAGATTTCAGTTGCAAGAACGGCCGGGTCTCCCAAAGGTATTTTGCAAGCAGATCCCCACGAGCTACAACAACAACAAAGAGGTTTCAGTATCAGATTATTCTCATCTGTGAAAATAATGTAGAATCATATATTGTATAATATTAATATAATATAAATAGCACATACAAGGGGAAGTGGGATCAAACCACTCTTCCCTAAAATATTTCGGACTATTTTACATTAGTCATTATAGATTTTTATTAACTGAATGTTTTCATATAAACTTTGGATTAGGTTTCAAAAATTATACTCTTAAAACCAGATATGTAAAAGATATACGAAAAAAGTTTGAAAAAAAACAACTAAACCTTCATATGTAAATTTTCAACACCCACAAGATATTCCATATCTCGTAGCTTGATTAGTTGGTTATTAAGTAGCTTGGTTAATTATACTCCAGACAGTTTAGAAACTCTTTAATCATTCTACTACTTTCTTAGTACATAAGTGTGGAGATATCAGCATATTAAGGTAAGTTATCGACTTTTAAAATTTGTGAAACTTTTTGTTGATTGAGTAATGTTTAATCTATAACTTTACGAAGATCGGAGAGATATCCATTAATACTTGCGAAATATATCTGGAATTTACGGTTACGAGAAATTATACACTTCTCTTACGAGAACGCTATAAAAATTTGCAATAGAATGTTAGTACTTAATTGTCATAACTTCGGAAATTTAACCTCTATTATCAATATATGAAATTTGATTTTGTTAATGCGAGTTGTGTTATTATTTAAGAGAACATATGGATCTCGCATACTTATATGATATATAATAAACAAGATCTCATTTTGTTCGAAAACCATTATGACGAATGTTGATTAAGTTGTAAATGAGAGGATAGCTTTATCAATTCTTGCGTTTAAATTCTAAGATCAAACAATCGCCCAAGACACTTTTTAATCTCCTCATCGAATAATCGCACTTTAACACATTTCAATATCTAACCGTTTAAATAATTCAAATAGAAAAAATTTCAAATGTCAACCGGGCATACCACTATTGTGACGACATAGTGACGATGCATTAGGCATTTTTAAACCTCCTCTCCGCATAAAAAAAGAACCAAGAGCAAGTTGGAGAAACCTATGGATCCAAAGACCGATTTGACTGCATACACAGCCTTTCCATAATAATAATATACTCATCTCAAGACAGTTCTTGTTGCAAAACAAAGGTTTCGTTCTTCCTGAAAGATTTAACGGGGTCCTATTGCGAAATTTTTTGCAATCGATGTATCCATAATATAAAGAAAGGGATAGTGAAATGCGGCTTGGAGGGAGGACTCTAAGTAGATATTGCTTCGATAGCGGTTGGTTATCTTTACTCCCTGAACAACCTACGAGACCCTGATCACCGTGGCATGTGAAATAAGTGCTTCAAAAGGTTAATATGCTTTCAAGCACTAATTTGAATGTTAAAAAATGACTACAGAGTTTAAGTTTAGGATTGAATTCAAAATGTTGAACATTTTGCAGTAAAATACTTAAATTAGTTAAACTATTCTATATTCTCAAATAAGAAAATTTAAACAGAAAGGTGTGCGTAATTATTTTTTATAAAAACATTTCATATCAATTAACATTTTTATTAATAATATATGTCAAAATTTTAGTACATTAAATTCTAATTATGAATTATATATTATAATTAATTATGCGCTAATGATTAAGATGAGTTACAGAAATTAGTTATGAGTATGTTAACAGGCACATATAGTATCTGAATAATGTTCTCCACAACACATACTCACATATTATCATGCATCCTATATCTTTTTTATTTTATTTTTTTTTTTCAGTAAAACAAGACACGCTATTGTAAACTATTGGTATTGAATTTATTGCCAGGAAAATATGATTTCATGTGCAGTACTACTACTTTAACTCTGAGTATGAGATATTTTTGGACTTTTATTTTTTTCTATTTTAGGAAATATATTTATTAGTCAGGTAATTTATCAACCAATAAATATATTTCCATATAACGCTAGTCACTTACATGAAATTTGTTTTATTTAAAATTATTGTATAATTATCAAAGCAGCATCGGCTGTATTTTATATTTTTTTATTGTAGTTGTTAGATTTTTCATATTTTTTTTTTATATTTGATATATTAAATATATTGTTAAATTATATTATTGTTTATAATTTCTTCAATGTTATTGCTCCTATATTTATTACATATTTTATTTTTATGCTTGGCTATAATATATTATTATTGTTTTATAAGTTTTTATGATAGTTTATAAATTTCATAACTCTAATTTTTATGAATTAAAAATAAAAACTAAGTCAATAAAAATCAAGAAATGTTAACGATAGCGAAATTTTTCCTCTACAATTCTAAACTATTACAAATCGCGTACGAAAGTAGTCAATTTGTTGAATATTGAAACTGAAATAAAATGATTAAATTTTAATTTTTTTATACATAAAAAGACATAAATTTTAAAAACGCGCTCACCATAAAAGTTAAGCGTTTAATTTGTTGCAATACGATTAATATTATCTTAGTTTTAGAGTGCGTCCCAATCTGTTTGATTATTATATACTTCATCCTCTAGCCACATTGAATAGTTTGCTTTAAAGTAATCTGTTAATTCTACTTTACGATCCCACCAACCCGAATGACCAAAGAAAGCAAAGTCCGAGTGTGTTAGAATCTCATCGCTGGGAAAGCCACTCTCAACTCCGTACTCAGTAAGTTGTGCATGTCCGTTTGCGCTATTGGCAGCATTATTTGCGGCGAAACCATTACCTTCCGCACCCATATTTGCGCCTGTATTTCCAGATGAATTATCTGAATTAGCCGAGTTGCCACCATTATTTCCACCTGCACCACATTTTTGCGTATCTTCTGGATAGCGTCGTAAATTGAAACGATCCACACAAGCACGCAATGTACACTCTTCCGCTTGAAAATCCCACGGTCTGGACTCCAAATCATTTCCGAATGCCCAATCATCATTTAAACGGTGACGTACTTTTGCATAAATGGCACTCATAGTTTTCATATTCGACTTACGCCACTGTCGGCCCAAATATTTAGTTTGCATTTTTAATAACTTTAAAACGTAGAGCTGCATCATCGCATGACGTACTTTCAGCGTTTTTTTCAATATTGGTGCAGATTTAAATACCACCAGCATCATTACACGGGAGTGCTTCCATTTAATTAGCTTATTTAATATTCTTAAAAGATTTATGCACGAAAACACGTTCCGCCATGAGTAGGGTTTATCAGACACTGACACAAAACTTTCACCTGACGAATCGGGTTGTTCTCCGATCACACAGGAAGGAAAATCTAATAAAGGAATAGAGTTTTGCATCCCCACGTATTCTGTTATATTTTGATTAAAGAATTTTAACACCAATGGTATGCAATTGGCGAAGACTAGATGTTGTGACATGAATTCGAACTGATACACATGATTTATTTTAAAGTGCTTCAAATATAATAGAATAATAGCCGATACAGCTTTAACAATGATTTCTTTGTGCCGTCCCATATCCATGGTTAACTTAGTGGATTGTGTTGCAGTAATAGGCATCTTTTTTGGCAGTACATCAGCCATTATGTTAATGCTTTCCGTTTTCGATTTTGAGGTTGGTGACGCGGCTAACAGAACTTTAAGCAGGGCAATCATGTATTGTGGTAGATTGGGTAAAATTGATTGATAAAGAATTTCTGCTGGTGTCGAAGGTATTTCGGTTTCTTGTGTAGATATGGGATTACGTGCAATATCTTCCTCTTTTTTAATCTGTACGTCTGCTAAGCTTATGTACATGTGCCTTCTTAAAGTTTTCACGCCTTCATGTATTGGTTGTGGTAGGCCAGCTAAGCTTTCGTGATCATCAATAAGCGAATAACCAATGAATTTATTTCGTGATATATCTAAAAACTGATCAATATCCTTTTGCCGAACTTTAGGTGTCCATGGTAGACGTGTTGTTAGTTGCACCGGTTGTGTCGGTGTCGGTTGAGAGCAATTTGCTGGATTATTGGGATTTTCTGTAGCTGTTGTTGACGGATCTTCAAACGGTCGGTAGTATTGTGATAAATCTTCATCTGCACCGTTAACATTATTGCCGCCGTTGCCGCCATTACTAGTAGATGGCGCACTCTCATTACCTGGCGTTAACTCCATATCCATTTGTTCCTGTTCATCTAGAAATCGCTGTTTCATTAAAGAACGCCTATAAGAGAATAAAATTTAATATATTTAAATAAAAAAGTATTCTATAAACTCACTTAAACCGTTTTGGATTTTGGTTATCCAAGATGTCAGTTGCAGTAGCAGGTGGCGAACTTGCACGCATATATTTCGTTACTTCCAATGTATCTTCAGTAATTGGTTCCAAGCCTACTTTCACGCGATAATCATTTTTTAAATTCTTTAACAATTCCATACCGCCTAATCCAAGCAATGTAATCTTCCACAACAGCAATACAACTTTTTTCATAGGAAAATGTGGTGCTGCACCGCTACAAAACCGTGTTATCATGCCCAGTAGTTTAACAGCCATCAATTCTCCATCTGGCAATGGACTATTAAGTTCTTGTATAAATGATTCTGCAATATCTTTATAGTCTTCACTGCCTTTTTCACGCTCCTCGCGTATTGTTTCAGTTATTATATATAGTACAGATAATATAACACGTAAATCTGTAGAATCTACAAGTGTTACGTTAGTGATTTTAACGGCAACAATGTCTGGTGAACAGGCGCTTTCTATTTCCATATTAAGTAGCTCTATAAACGATGAGAATACGCCCAAATTGTACAGCACAATAACATTATCTCTAGTAATTTGCATTTGCTCTTCATCTGACTGCACTTCTGCCCAGCAGCCTTGCGCCAAATAAAGTAAACAACGAGCTGCCTGCATACGAAAATTACGATTGGATACCTCCAATTGATCTATTAATTTCATAATAATGCTACGTTGCGATGCCGCATTTTGCTTCTGCCAGTTTGGAGGCAAGTCATACATTTCCATTTGGTCCTCGAAGGCCTTAACATTTTGTTGGAACTCATGGAATTCAGTGTAACTATACAATTCTGATATTTCATTTTGATAAGTGTCAACGTCTGCATAGATAAAATCTAAATCGGGTCCATCACAGTTTCCGTCCACATCATGTGTATCTTGTTCAAAGGAATTGTTTATAGAAGATAGCATCGAAATCAACTTGTAGCCTGTGTTTGTGTGTGTACCTCGCAGAAAGTAATTAATGATGAATTAAAAAATATAATACAAATTTCACGAATTTTTTGTACGGCACTTAGTGCCGCTTTGTACATATGTTGCCGTTGAATTTCATTTATTTTTTAAAATTAAAACTTTTTATTAATAAATAGAGTTTATTTACTATACGATTACTATGTGATTATAACTAAATTTCTCCAATTTAATATATATTAACAAAGAAAGACTTGCAATACACGGAAAATTTTCTTTTAACATCAACTAATAGATACATTCCACATATTCAGTGTTGCAGTGAGCAGTATTTAAAATAGTAGTGTTGCCTATCATAGCTTTGCATCATCACATATGAGCTCAATGTAAAAGTGTAGGAATTTCAACTACCACAAACACTTGACAATGGTTACGATATAAATTCCCAATATAAATATATTTATATATATACAGCTACATTTTTAATTACTTTTTTAACAACTGCTTTGTGCATAGTAGAATATACTATATATATAATATATAATATATATAATATGGTTATAATGAGGTGATTATTGTAACTTTAGAAAATTAAAAAAAAATTAAATCAATAAAGCGAAAGTTGCATAAATTAAATTAATTATTTATGAAGTAAATTGTTAATTAAAAATTATTTTTATACTTTTAAGTTCAGTACATTGTATTAATACATCACTTTACAATACGTTCATGAGAAATTTTATCAAAAAATGGTTAGTATATTGTCAAAATATATTTTAAATATTTAATAATGAATAATTTTAATTATAAGTATATCATTTCTTATATTTTGTTATGTTATTCATTTTCTTTTATATTGTTTATAAATATTATAAATTTTTACTTTTTATTGATTATTATGAATTATTATTATTTATATTGATTATATGTCATCAATATATTACATATTAATTTTATATTATGAGTATATTATATGTTGATTAATATTGATTATTCTTTACATAATATAAAAATGAATATTTTAACTGTCGTATTTTTTTACATTTTTAATTTTCTTTTATATTGATTATATATAAAATATATTTTTATGAACAACATATTTTTAAAATAATTATTCCTATTCTATACATTTTTAAATTTTTAATTTTTTTTGTATAGATTACTGATTATATATATTTTTATAAACAACACATTTTTAGAATAAATTCTGCAATTGTTATATATTTCTACTATTAAATTTTCTTTGTGTGGATTTTAAATAAAAAATGTTTTATAAAAATATATATTGCAATTGTTATATATTTGTATTATAAGTTCACTTCTACACTGATTATAAACAAAATAAAAATTCCCAACAATCTATATATAGATTATTATTTATATTGCACATCGCCCTGCTTTGCAATCATGATAAGCAATTTTCAATACCAAATTCACCACACTGAAAATGCTATAAGATGGCAACGCTCAGTGAAAATAAAAACATTTGTGTTTGGATTCTGTGCCGGTCGGAATTTTGTTCTTATTTGGACTTCCTTGTTAATCAATAATGTAAGATAATTTTAAAATTACGAAATATATATAGAAATACTTAAACAACTATGAATATAAAAAATATACAATTATGAATCATTTCAATTATCAATTTTAAACGATGAAAGGCAAGAAACCTTTTGTGGACTTTGAACTGATTTGCTGAAAAACAATGATAGTGCAAAAATTGTGTTGAAATTCTTGAGTTATTTATAATCTTAAGATAATAAAACTTATTCAATTTTGTGCAAAATTATTCATTAATTTTAAAAGATTTATTTAAATTTAAGTTTAATAGTGTCATGGCCAGTTCACTTGTTCATTTCTTAATCGGTGCCTTAGTTACAGCGTTGGGAACTTATTATTACTATTACGTGCAAGTAATTGTCGAAATTATTTACCTTTTAAATATCTAATCATATTTTTGTTCTATTTTTACAATAAATTTTATAAGATAAGATTATTCACATAAATATTTAAAGCAAAGAGAAAAGCATGCATGATTGGCTTCTAAAGACTTGATTTATATCAATAATATTTTTTAATTTCCGATTTGTCAGTGGCGTAGTTAGGATAATACCAGAGGGTATACATAACTTAAAAATACATATTTATTGACATTGTTTGCGCAATGTACTGTCTGTAGATTACACTATGAAGGAACAGTGGGATTATAACTTCTTCCCTCCTAGATACGCCACTGCGGTTTGTGCTTCCATAAATAATGTAACCATATCAGATACGGGTCGTAATATCTGATAAGTGTTTACAGTTGTGTTTACCATGTACTTATAATGAGTAATTAATATTGTGTATTTTGTAATATTCACAGTGTAATATTGTATTAGGCTGGTCATGGATTACATATTTGTGTTTTGATATTAGATAAATACTAATGACAAATATAGAAACCTTTTGTTCTTTGTAAACTTAGAAAAATTGTTGTAATAATTTATAGTTAATTAATAAGTATTAGATTATAAAGCATATTAAAATAATTTTTATGAGAAATCATAAAAAATAAGTATAAAAAAGTAAAAATTATTTTCGTAAGGTTGTGAGAAGCATTGTAATACTGTTAGAATCCCTTTAAATTTACTGGACGTTGAGATTCAAAGCTTCAAAGTTACACGTATATGTCACTACTATACTAACAGCGCTGATGGTGTGTCACGAATAAAGATATATACAAAACCTTAAGAATCGAAAACATTGAAAAATAATTTTGATGTATGATGTGCACCAAAATTATTTAATCTCTGAATGCTCATGCTAACATTCTTTAAACAAGTGTAATCTATATTCTGCCTGGAGATATTCTGGACTTCGTAATATGCTGTTTACAAAATCATTTCAATGACTTAATATCCCTTCTGAATTAAACACAAATTACAGTGAATTACTTAAGTGATTACAGTCTTTGTTTACTAAAAGTGTTTTAGACACTAAGTCAAGTTTTATTAAACACATTAAGCATATGTCACTATTCATTTGTGTATGATAATTTTCAAAATAAAAGAATTTACATGTTCTTCAAATTAATACATATCTATGATACTGAAGAAGTCTTTCCAATTTTGTTTTTCAACACCACAGCGAAATTTGTTTCTTTTTAAGGGATTTTATTCTGTCTCAATAGTTTTTATTATTATATTTGCTCAGTCAACTGAGGGACAAATTTATATTTTACAACGGTTATATTGTTACAACGGTAGAGTCTAAGATATACTGAGCTTCAAACTATACTTCTATGAAATCATCTGAATAACTTATTATCAGAATTTAACGGAGCTCTTATTACAGTCGATCATCCAAGTGGTCAAACACATTAAGTAAAATTGTTTCAGACACTAAATCACAATTTATCAAGTAAAGAAGAAGAAGAACCGTCTGTTTATATATGAAACGATTCATCAGTATTAAACTAGAAAAAGGGTTAGAATTGTGTAAAGAATCTTTAATGGTAATCTCTGAAGAACCTTTGATAAATTATTTAGACCTTACAAATCTGCAAAACTGTTCAAATCTTATACTAAATTTTTTTTTTTCCATCTAATATACGTCCAATAAATATATGTACATATTAGAATAAAAAAATTTAATTTCATTATTTAGAAGTAATTATTTTCAGAAGTGGCGGGAATTTTGCGTCATCCACAGTTGTGGATTTATTTTTAACTTTCAATATATACATAAAGAATAGTAAAATACACTCACTTCAAAAAATCAATATATCAAACTAAATTACCATGTACAACACACTGGCCATGGCCATTTCCTTAGAGTAATTATTTAATGCAAGCCTTGCCTGATAATTATTATAATTTATAAGGATATCAATTTCATCATATAATTACCTTATTGCTGTTCAGAATAAATGTTTCTAAAATTAGTGGTTAAATTTAATCAATATATTAATAAAACAATTTCTCTAATAAATTATTGTTCAATTGTTAAAAGGCGTTACGATTGTTATTATATGCCATATGGAATAATTAACATAATATCTCTACAAAAATAACACTGCTGAAATTTAATAATTAAAAGAAAATTAATTCAATTAATTTATAATATTGTTATATTATATTATTATTATATTATAATATAATAATTCAATTATTCTATAGCTGGTGATAAATTCGTTCTAAAATAACACAGCAAGTAAATTTGTTAATGATTACCTTTTGCACCAAATAAACAAAACTCCAGGTTAGAAAAATACAAATTAATTAATACTGAATCTGGGCTTTTAATTTAACAGGGCACAAGTTTAATCCTTGGTACTTGCAGTCTCATAAAATTATTTACGAATATGATAAGAATATAAGATCCAAAAAATCGTTAGTGATAGGTATTTGGCTATATTAGAAACAGCTATATGGTTAACCAAAAATTTTACTAATTAAAAATAAAAAAAAATTATTTTAATAGTAATTGATGTTAATTGACAGTCTTCGCGACAGTCTTCGTTAATTTGAAATCCACACTTAAAGATTTTTATTCAGAGATATAGAAAGCCCAGTGCTAGTAAAATTAGTGAAATGAATTTACTTATGAAATGTACGATACTTAAAAATATGTCTTTTGCCAGGCTACCGGTAATCACGAAAAAATGACCGGTGATCTATGGTATGATCTTATAAAAACGTTACTGCAATATAATCCTCAGGGCTCTAGAAACAAATATTTTTTATGTACAAAAATCCATAACGATCGCGGCACTAACTTAGAACACTCGCTGACTATCGAATGTTATGGTAGGAACATGTTTGTACCTATGAGAACATGTGTGTATATACTCTGTATATATACCCTATAATCTGTATATACCCTATACTCTGTATGAGTTCATAAATACATAAATCCGCCGGTTTGACGGAAATTGTGCACTTTGTACACATTAATCCTTAAATGTTAAAGTTCTTAATTTTTGCTACTAATCAATCATTACTTGGGAATAGGAATAAACGGGGTAGCAGCTCCCAATGGAGCGCAATACTCCGCTCCATTGGGAGCAGCTTCTTATGTTATCTTTTAGTTTTATTAACATTTAGAGGAAATAAATTAATTTTAGTATTTAATTTTATTAAGTAAAAATAGTCTACTTAATTCTTTGGTAGACTTGGTTAGGGATTTTATTATTATTTATTTAATTTAGGCAAAATAAAATAAATTTTATTTACTCCTTTATGACCTATAAAAAACCTTGGATATAACCCATTCCATCTACTCCTTAGAATGTTAAATTACAAACTGTTGAATCATTTTTTTAAGCTCACAGTATAAATTTTTTATTGACTTACTCGAGTAATGCTAATTATGCATAATTTATTCTATGCTTAACAATTTACAGTTTAGTAGCTAGAATGGAAAAATTACAAAAAATTGGTCAATTTGCCGTTCTCAAAGCCGATGTACTTAGAATCGTAATAAATCAAGAACGCAATATATGTACACGCTATACTCGGCAGTATCAACAATTGAATCATCAAAAACAATTCCAACGCTATCTCAGCAAAAATCAAGTCAAAGGCCAGCCAGCAACATTGCCTTCGCATATCCTAACAAGAACCGCAAATAGACGCGTATATTTAGTCCTTTTGCCTATAAGCACAGTTAGTTGTGCCACTGCTGCCAGTCAATCAGCAACGTTAGCTAAAGAAACATCGTCTAAGGGTGACAAATCTGACGATGTGAGTAAATGTGTCCTTGCTTGTTTTTTTTTACTAGAATTGACTTCAATGAGGTTTTCACATATCAAAATTAAAAGTTAATCTATTTATTCTACTAACGACTTTCGTATTCTTAGTGCGTTACTGTTTTGTGTTAACAATTCTTTGTACATTTCTTTTAATTATGTTAATTTATTGTATAAATTTTATATTTAATTAATTTCACTTTTTGTTTCTTACATTTACAGCTAGAAAACATGTCAACTGATTATAAAAACGCCAGTTCTATTTATGACTTCACTGTCAAAGACTCTTTTGGCAATGACGTGTCTCTGGATAAATACAAAGGAAATGTTGTGTTGATTGTGAATATTGCCTCACAATGTGGCTTGACCAAGAATAACTATAAGAAATTGACCGACTTAAAGGAAAAATATGGGGAAAAGGGTTTGAAAATTTTGAATTTCCCTTGTAATCAGTTTGGTTCACAGATGCCAGAAGGTGATGGTGAAGCAATGGTATGTCATTTACGTGATGCCAAAGCAGATATTGGAGATGTGTTCCAAAAGGTATATAAAATTATATTTATACATTGGTTATGGGTGTTATTTACATTGATTTCAAAACACTATTTTAACTGTACATATGTAGTGCTTCAAATATTATTCAAACTGATTTGAGCATCAAAAATTCTAGTGTTCAAGCATTTCGAGTGCAGGGATTCGCTTGAAAATTGTCAATCATATTCTTGTTGTTGTAGCTCGCGGAGATTGTGTAGTCCCTTTGGGGGATTACACACAGTAAATAGCACTTGGTTGTCAAAATTGTCGAGTACCTCCAGGACGTAGACCTGGCCGTTCTTGGAACATATTATATTGTGTTTTTACATTTGCTAAAATAAAATACATTTTCTATTGGAGTACTTCGAATCCAAACTCAAATCTCGAATTAGAGCACAGCTAAAACTATCGCACGTCATGTTAGCTTATTAATTTCTCGAAAATACAAGGAACAATTGAGAATAATAGTATACACCAAACATAAGATGATGACAATTAACAAAATTAAGAATATTTACAAATTCTACCAGTTTTAAATCCTATAGCAATTCGTCTACGTCAATCAAGTTGCCCTCATAACTTCCATTAATAGTTTGCTGTTTACTACGAAAATGAATTAAGTAGATTTTTCTAAGAATGGTGGAATGACACACGTTACACCTATAGTAACAAAAATGGAAATTTAGTCAGAGACGTATAGGATGTAATTCTAATGAATGTGTTACGCATAGAAGAAGTTGACAGTGGTAAGGAAATAGAGAGTGAAACTTATGCTGTATATAAGGTTTGGAACATGATTATATTGATAGTAGGCAGTCATTTTTGAGATCACATTTTAATATATATAAAACACAAAACAATAGAGAACAATATTCAAAAAAAGTTGGCATTCAGAACTATCACAAAATTCAAAAGCAAGAACTGGCTGGTTATCATATTCTTATATCTCAACTAAAATATATTAAAGTGATAATTTTCAAAATACTTGTAAGTATTAAAATACTTGTAACAAAAATCACACAGAAGTATGGAGAATAATAAACAGTGGTAGCATTTGGAGCATTCAAGAGAAGAAATTTTCGAAATATCTATTGTCTTACCTATATGCGTTGGTAACGTTGTATGAACTATACCGCAACATAGATATGGTTAAGTGTATAAAACTTCAACAGTTTCGCTGGTTTGATCATGTTATACGAATGCATGAACTAATTGGGTTGGCTGGAAAAGGTTATTGGACATGATGAAGGACAACTCACGTCTGTAATGACCGACTAATTTATATATTCAAGTGTAAATCGTATTAGCAGTCACGTATGCAGGTTGATCATCGCGCCTATGTAACAAAGAATTTTTAAAAATTTGGGCGGCAGTCTATTGATTTTGGATCAATTTTAAGATCCTTATTATATCATAACTGTGTTGGCTCTTGCTCTTAATGAGTACGACCTCTTTAAATAGCAGAATGGTTTCCGTGGCAAGCCTATATAGGTTAATAGGTAGTAAAAAGACTGAAATGGATCTTTAAGAATTAGACCGGCTCGTTAATTTGAAATATAAACTTATAGATTGTTATATAGAGATGTAGGAAGCCTAGCTAGTAAAATTAGTTAAGTGAATTGACTTAAGAATTGAACGATTCTTAAAAATAGGTCTTTAGCCATACCATCGGTGATAACTAAAACGTTTTCTAAGTTAATATCAATAAAATGGACATCCATACATATTAACTTATAAATAATAAATTTCGTCATTTTCAAATCAATGTACCAACTTAATTAATTTAATATTTTTTAAATAAATAAAATAATTTGTTAAATTTTTTTTTAGATTGATGTGAATGGCGCCAATGCGATTCCACTATATCAATACTTGAAAGCTAAACAAACTGGCACTTTGGGCAGTGGTATTAAATGGAATTTTACTAAATTTTTAGTTAATAAAGAGGGCATTCCAATCAATCGCTATGCACCCACAACTGATCCAATGGATATTTCTAAGGATATTGAAAAGCTGCTTTAAATACAATAGCATTTAAATGCTTCATTTATTATCATTTAAGATATATAATATATATTTTTAAAAAAAATATAAAACAACATTTGTTTTGGATTGTTTTATAATTACGCGTTAATATTAAATATCACATATATTATTAAAGTATTTATATATATATATTACTTATATTGATTTGTACTTTCTGCAAATAAAATTGAAACAAAATTAAATAAAAACAAATAAATGAATCGTTATTTTCGTGTAAAATTGACGTGATCTAGTTTAAATGCAAGACACAAATCCAATTTACATTTGATATGCTTGCGTCACCGACGTACGTTAACCTTTGAAATTTTATATTGCAAATTTTGGGCATTCTTTTTTTTGAGATTTTATTAAAACTTTATATTAAAAATTTAAGTGCAATGCAAATCAATGTCAAACAAACTAACGAAAACAATTTATTTTGATTAAAAATATCCAATTGCACAATTGATTATTTTGGTGCAAAAATTGTTTATCAGATAAAAAAGTAAGAAGACGGTAAAAAATTGTTAAAAGGTCGCAAATCATTTTAGCGTACATAATCTTAAAATTTGTGTTAACTCTGATTCTATTGAGCAGTATCATAACTCTTAGTAAATGTATTTGTTTATCTATGTACTTGTAAATCCATTAGAATACAAATTTACCTTATAATGTAATATGAGTATTAAAAATATAACTCAGATGTGATTCAAGATAAATTAAAGTTAGGGTCAGTGAGAGTATAAGCTAACTAATCGCAAAAACAACGGAAGCTTGACTAGTCTAAATATTATACTTCACTATGATAGATAGATTCCGTCATTAAAGAAATTTAACTAGTACTAGAAGCGTACTACTGAAAGGTGATGGTGCATGATAGTCTAACAGTTGCTTTTGAAATTAAAAATGGAGTGCTAATGAGTTGGTAGTGGTAACAGGGAACATATTCAACAAATCATCACTGACTATTGCCTATAGTCATTAACTATTGATCTTAAGCAGGTCACTACACTATTTCAAAGAAAAGTTAATCGACATACAATTCAGAGCTAAATTAGCGGGACTAAACATTAACGAGAACGAGAGGACGAATGACATCCCCAGGGACCTCAAGATTGATCCGATCAAAAAATAGATCCCTGAAATTATTTGTGAAAACTGACTTACTTACCAACACCTCGTTATTGAATCTTAAAATCGTTACAGGCTCCTCAAGGAGGTATGCAGATCTAAGGTCAATTATTGCTTAATATGATGAAGTGACAAACATTAATCCAGCCAAGGCATAAAGAGGGTTTTGAAGATACCTCGAGTTAATAAAGAGTAAAAGTGCTCAAGTGCACTGGCTCAAATAGCTTCAACATAAAAAAAAAACAAAATATGTGGAAGACGCACGCACAGCCGAATTTTAGAGCCCATTCAAGTTGGTGAATTCATTTTTGAAGACGTTGAAAGCTCCAAATACCTGGGTATCCTCATTAATAGCAATACGTAAACATCAGTGTTTGTATCCAAGACAGAATTGTGGCAGCAAGCAGAAGTTATTACGGACACGCGAAAACTTCAAATTTAAAATCGTGACCACAAGTGCCAAACTACACCCTTACAAGGCAATCGTTCGCCCGATATTATATTACGAGATCGAAACATGGACTTTAACGACGGCAGATAAAAGCCAAATCAGAGCTTTCAAAAGAAAGGTACTGAAATAGATTGATAATCCTACAATCTAAACCACAATGAACTTTGTCGGCGCACGAATGCAAAGCTACTACAACTTTGTAACGGTGAAGATGTTATAAAGTTTGCAAAGTCGCAGAGCTTGAGATTGATCGAAGACGTCATGAGAATTTTGGATGATAGACCGAGCTTTATAACAACCGCAGCAGAAGTTGGCCACAAATAAAATGGCTCCACAGCGGGATCGAACACATCAGAAAAATAAACAATATAAACAATGTACAAAGCAGAATAGAGAAAGTTCATTGATGCAGCTAAAGCTTACCCCGAGCTGTAATGGTACTGATGATGATGATTAGTAGTGTCCTAGTATCTTTTTCCAGTCCGTTGCTCTTAACAAAGCGAAGTACTTGTTATAAATGCGCATTATTCGTTGCTGTACTTTATTTCGTTTTATATCCCGTTGTGTGTATCTTTTTTTTCGAACAATGGTACCAATCATGGTACCAGTAGACGATCTTCTTGTTTGTATTCTACTATTACATTTATTTTAAAGATTTTTTTCAAGCACGAATATGTTCTTTCTGAGAGCACCCTATGGGATTCGTAACATCGTAAATTCGACAGGAAACAAATTTAAATATCGTACTTCCCTGTGGTGATAGATCGTCATTGAAAAAATTTGACTTGGTGTAGTAGTCTTTTTTATAAGTTCTATACTCTTGACAAAGCGAAGTGGTCTATCATTAAATGCTCATTATTCTTTGCAGTACGCAATTTTTCTCGTTCTTATGTTGTGTGTATCTCTTTTTCGATCAAATTTTGCTATTGATTCACCCAACGAGTAGACGACCTTCTTCCTTGGTTTTGGCGGTATGCTATTTTGTTTAATTTTGTGTGATCTTATGTTGTGTGTATCTCTTTTCTTATCAAATGTTGCAACTGATTCACCCAATGATTAGATGTCCTCCTTCATTAGTTTTGACGGTACACTATTTTGGTCAATATTGTGTTATATGTATCTATTTCTCCGGACACCGTTGCAATTATTTTACCCAACGAGTAGACGATCCTCCTCGTTTTGGTTATTACATTTAGGTATGTCCTTAAGTACGGAGATGTTTGTCCTAAGAGCACTTTATGAAATTCATAACGTTATTCCATATGCTTAAAATCCAAAACTTTCAATCTTCAGTTCAAAAAATTTTTCTCATTAGCTCTGTTTCGGAAACAAAGGGCAACTGTTGAAAATATCAATACAATTACTTATGGAATGTATTGAATGATATATATGAAAGAATAAAAAGAAGCTATGATTAGGTCTGTTCCACGAGCTACTTATAGTAACTTTGAGTAAACACTGTGTATACACAAGCGCGTTCCACTAGCAAATTTTCAAGTATTTTTGTGTAAATTTTACTTCTGTTTTACTCATGTTTTACTATGAGTAGCTCGTGGAACAGACCTATTATAATAAATTTTAACATTTCACTCAAAATTAAAAAAATACAAAAATACCGTTTTTCCAAAAAAAAAAGATTGGAAAAACATTAGCTTTTCCATTTAGCCACACTTTGTCAGTAAATGTCAACAAATGTTGAAGGAACCTTGAGTGGATGTGAAGTGGTAACCTTTTCATGTTCACGATCATTGCTTTATTTGTTGATCACAAATTTATATAATTTGTAAATAATTTTGAACTTGTACTAGTTAAGCTTCAAAACAAATTACTGGCATTTTTCTGCAACTATTTTCCAACAGACCAAATCGATTAGACCTGTCAGCAAAGTCGTTCTAGTTTAATGTATCATCACAGAGAAAAATAACCAAATCAGTTATTTTCAAGTTTATGACGAGACACAGCTGACCTTCCGACAATTAATTAGATAAATGTTGTTTTTGCTAAGTTTGTGATTATCAAAAAGATATTTTCCAAATGGAAAAGCCGGTCAAAAAAAATCCAAGAAAATTAAAATTCTCCAGTTTTTATGGTAAGTTGACAGCTTTGCTCATTGCAGTTGAAGTGTTAAAAATAAAAAATGATCGCGCGGATACAGAGAAACCACTTGAGTGTAATTTTATTGATAATGTTCAGATAGTAATGCAAACTATTAGATACATATCTATGTACAGAATTGAGATCTTAGCTGTCAGTTAGAATTCGAATGAAAGTATTTGTTAACAAATTCTTCAATTTGATTTGTCGATCGATTTGATTGATCGTGTGTATCCTTAAATGTTGAAGTTAAGTATGTGTTCTAGACCGGTCAGTGGGGTATGCATGTTTATTTCATTAAAAATATTTATACATATAAATAAATATTTTTTTTATTAACGAATTTGTTTAAATATTTGTTGCTGCTAGTTAACGCCAATAGTGCAACGCTGGTGGCCGTTTTTGTTGTTGAACTCATTTCGCACTTCTATAAATTGACAAAAATTGAATTCCAAATTGTATGCCCGCAATTTGTACAATTTTAAATAAAATTTTTATTTTATTTTAGTTATTGTGACTTTTTTTGCTAATTTCACGTTTTATGTATAAATAGTCACGAATCGTCAACACAATTGTGCACTCATCTGCCATTGTTTGCCAGTTAACAACGACTCGTTATTCGTAGACTTGGCTTATTGCTTTTCGAACAACTGATTTGGTTACGATTTGAGGTAAGTGGATAGAAAGGATATTTTTGAATAGGTGTTAATGATGTAATTTTTTCATACTACAATTTTTAGAATGAATAAATTATTTCTGCTGTTGCTACTTGTTGGCACAGCAATTGCGGCGACTCATGTAGATATTTCAATTGCACAAAAGCCTATCACAAATCCTGCCGATGTCACTTATATAGATGGCAAAGCACCAGTAGAACTACGTGCCGGACCTGCTGAGTATAAGGAAGAACGTTTTGCTAGATTGGAAGTAGCTAGCTCATCCGAACAACCAGTGGATCAAAAAGAGAATGAACAAAGTAACCAAAATACAGTACATGTAGCTAGAGTTAGTCTTACCAAAGGTGCTGGAAATGTTCCATATAATCAACAGCATGGATACAATGCACGTGCTGCATATAATGCGAAATCTTATAATCGTCATTTGTATCAACAACAACGGAGTCAACTCAGGCAACCAAATGAACATGACCGGCAGAATCAAGAATTCGAACGTTATATACAAAACTATCACAGTGGACCAACAGTGGAAACGGTATGTTAAATAAGTACACTTATGTTACTAATAGAACTAAATTAGAGTACTGAAGTACTTAAAAAATCAAGAATTCGAACGTTATATACAAAACTATCACAGTGGATCGACAGTGGAAACGGTATGTTAAATAGGTACACTTTTGTTATTAATTAAATTAACTCAGAGGAGTAAAAACATAAAGAATTCGAACGTTATATACAAAACTATGGTCCACCATGGTGACCGACAGCGAAAACAGTACGTTAAATAGGCGCACTTACTTTACAATTAGAACTAATTCAGGGTACTGAAAAAATCATGAATTCGTAAGTTATATACACAACTATCACAGTGGAAACGGTATGTTAAATAGGTACACCTATTGTTTTAATTGCACTGTTTAAACTTCCATTTATGTTCAACAAAAAACACTTTAAATCTCTATATCTATATCAGTATCAAATAAAAATATTAATTAGTTTAAATTGGGAATTTCAACTAAATGACGAAATATTTTTTCAGAAGCATGGACATATATTCAGTATATAAAAAATAAATTAGTTTTTCACACTAAAATTATATTTCAGGTATATGATACTGCTAGTCAAGCACCACAACGCTACCAACAGGCACCTTCTTCATCAGCGTCATACATAGCTGCAGCACCTTCGTCAGCGTCAAGATCGGAACGTTTAGTTGCTGTTGCTTCTAGACCATCATATAGTCATCAATTCGAAAGACAAGTAGCTGTAGCATCGGTAACGCCTTCGATTTTACCTGCTAGTGATACAGACAAGCAATCTAATGTTGTCGTTAATCAACAAGTAAAACCAATTGTAGAAATCAATGAACAAAGCACTGCCAGTGAGGTTCCTCTCTTTACCCCTCAACCACAGCCAGATAGCAAAAAACAACAAGATACTGGCGGTTTTGTGCAACAAAGCTTTGACCCAACTCCGAAAGGTTTCAATAAGCCAAGTTTTGAACAACCAAGCTACAGTTATGATGATACACAACAACCTGATCTAAGTCCACAGTATCCACCAACTGTAGAAGACTCGCAATACGGTTATGGAGGAATTGGCGGTAGTGGCAGTGGTTATTATGGTAATAATGAGCAAACGAACTATTATGGTCAAACTAGTCCAGCCAACGTTGGTGGTGGCTATTATCCACATACCGTTTATCAACGACCAGTAGTAACAAAAACCATACAAATTGCACAACCTGCACTGAAAGCCAAAAAATACGAAGTACGTCATCCTGCTATACAAAAAGAATTCTATGATATTGAAGAACGTGTTGTTATAAAGCCAGCTGGTACAATTGTAGTCGAATTAGAACATCCTGTAGCAAAAATACCAAGGGGAGAAACCATTTTGCCTTTGGGTCACCCACATCCTGCTGTAGCGAGCGCTTATAGTAATGGTCAAGGTGTTATTCAAACCGAACAATTTAGCACGGGTTCGTATAACGGCAGATCTCCAGGAGGCACCGTTAAAACTAATCAATATAATCCAAATGCTGTATATAATGAAAAACCTGTGCTAGGTAGCACCACAATTGGATCAGCAATAACTACAAAACCTAGCTACGAATCCAACTCGCAAGAAGACACAGTGGAAGCCAGTTTAAATAAGCAATATAATGGCGACTCTCAATATGTTGAGGAACAATCAAATAACGAAGATTTCTATGTTATCACCGATGGAGACGGAAATCAACAAAAGGTATCAAAGAAAACTATATCACCAGCACATGTAGAAATAAAAAGCAATGGGGTACCACTTAACAATAACTATGCAAATAGTCAACAAAATTCATTTAACTATAATAACAACAACAATAATCAGCGCGGTAATGCTGGTTATATACCCAATCAATCACAGTATCCAGCAAATTATAATGACAATAATCAATATAAGGGGGAATATTTTGCGGCTGAATATTTCAACAAAAATAACAACAATCAACAGGATGCTAAGCCTGCCCGTCTACAGGAACAACCAGTGGCCCGTGAAAATACCGATGATGCCCGTGTAATGCATGTTATTAAGCATGAACACAACATCCATCTACCTCCCGCACAGCATAATATTTATGTGAATAGATTGGAACAGAAAAATGGTGCAGATCAACAACAACAAAATGAACGCCAACCACAGCCTGGTAAATTTAGAGGTAATTACTACAATGAAGAAGCTGCACATGTACAAGAAGTCAAACCCTTTTTGGAACAACATAAAGGAGGTGTAGTAGTTTATGCCTCACAAAAACCTAAACCTAATGTTATATTCCAAAGACCACACTCCGATGCTCGACGCTTTATCTACACTCCACGTGTACCACCAAACGTACAGTATCACGGTTTTACGAGAAAGAACGCCGGTGATGATGTCAACAAAGTACAGTACAGTGCACCCTACTCTAATATGCGATACGTACCAGAAGAATCTGCACGTTTGACGGAAAATGTTGAAAGCAATGAAAGTCAAAGTAATCAAGAAAGCAAGGAAAGCGGTGAACAAACTGTGGAGAAACAAAATACAGTAGTTACGGAAGGTAACGAAGAAGAAACTCAACCTCGCGCACACATACAAATACAAATCCCACAGCATCCGCAAGAAGCAGATAAACCGATATTTGTTGGTACTACCATTAGTCCACCCATAAAGAAAGTACATAAAACAAACTATCATGTATTGCCAAATGGTGCAGTTGAAAAATTCACTTCTGATAACAACTATCAAAAGGATAGAGTACAATCAGTCAAACCAGATTGTGATGATCAAGTCCAGGTCAGTGTAAATGAAGATGTTCCATTTAATGAAGCACAAAATGTGAACGGTCAGCAGAAATTCATGCGTTTAGTTGAGTCGCCAAGTGCGAGTACCAATAATAATGATGGTATAGTAGCTGCTGCCATATCTCCAGTCGGTACTAATTTGCAAGCAGAACATGTGGATGTTAGTCATAAAGGCACCTCTGGTCTTAATAAAATAAACACACCAAGTTCTCGTGTTATAGCTTCGACGCCAGCTCCCAATGATTCTTCGTCAGTCAATGAAAGTTTTCATAAGCGCCGCATAGTGGTAAATCATCCTTTTCAGACAGTTCGTGAGGTTGTTGAACATGAACCCATTACCAACTATCATCAAGTTCGTGTTAATGAACCAGCATCTGCACCATATTATCAAACACATGGATCGCAGCAATACGTGGTCCCGCAAAGTATACCAGTACGCTCACAGGATTACAAATAAGAAGCGCAAGTGAATTTATGACTTTGCAGTGCGTCGGTACTGATATTTTTTTGCCATTATTTTTTAAGTGAATTGTTGTTGTTGTTGTTATTTATGTTGATTTGTTTTAATTATTGTTTAATTTAAATTTAAGAACATTTTACATTAGAGCAGATAAAAGCTGCCATATGTTGGGTATTAATTTATGGTTTGAAGGGTTTCTCTTATTAACAACTTACTTGTAATCTGAACTAGGACTTAGTTTAATTTGACCTAAGCTTGCCGAAGAAAGTATAAATAAATGCAATGCAGATAAAATAAAATGTGTATAACTTAATGTAAAAGTTATCTAATTTGACAGGGTTCAATGCTTTCTACTTGCTGTATAAAAATTATTTATGGACAATTGAAACTAAAAAATGTTTTCAAAGACCTTCCATGATGGATATTTGCTAATATCCAAAACAACTATAGGATCAATCCGAAAATTCATTTTAAAAAAATATAGTTTGGAAAAATTATTTGCTATTATCATCTAGTGTCCGTCCTCAATAGAAAGAAACTGATGTTGTCGGCAGACAGTCTGGTGGGTTATCATGACCTGCATTATTATTTTAACAAGATGGGTCTGTTTGAACAGACAGAATGACGGGTCTGCTTGGAATCGGATGAGACCTGGCCCAAGAGGAAACTGCTGTGTTAGGAGACTATATTCTCCGCTGAAGTTAAGATGTTCTCAACAGCTGATATTTTGGGTTTCAATCGAAAAGCAGAGTGTCTCTTTTTTTCAGTCAGGGTCAGTTAGTAACATAAAACCTCAATCGTAGTGGTCGTAGTGTTCTGCTCTCTCCTCCTTTTTCTACTCTTTTTAAATAGAGTAGCTGCATATTAAAGACATATCTGTTTAAAATAACTATTAAAAATATGATTTTTTAAAATTATGTTTAAGTATACTGTTTTGATTTTTACATTTTTCACTATAAAATTTTCATTTCAAAGTTTTTAGTTTGGATGAACACGAGTTGAGTTTAACCTGATTCACAGGGTCTCCTTATCAAATTATCAGAAGCTTTTTTGAAATTATATTCTAAGCGTTACAGCATAATGATACTACTTACAAATTTATCTTAGTTACTGTTTATTTACACAATTTTTCAATAGATTTTTTTATCTTTATTTTTCAGTTTATGTTTTTAGTTAAGTATTAATATTACATATTTATAAACACAACTGTTTTTGAATTACCTATAAACAATATTTATTTTTTTATTGTTTTCTTTTAGTCACTTTATTATTCACTGACTAATTATTATTAATGTGTTTTATACAGTATGTTAGATTAGAGATTATCAGATTATTTGCTCTTAAAACCCTACGTTTACCATATGTAAATTAACACTTTTAACGATAGTACTTCCTATTATTTAAATTAGATACGTCATTATATAAGTCAAAGTATACAACCGGCTTTTTGTTTTTTTACCGTCAATTACAATATTCATGTTTTTACACTATTTTATAACTTAGAAAATTTTTAGAAGAATAATTTTTATATAAAAATCTGTTTATAGTATGTTCCCATTGCCCGATTGACGGCGAATGCCATAATCGTATAAGGATAAATTAGATACTATGTAAATGAAGTTAGGTTTTTCTTATTATTTCTTATAATTATTTATAATATTTATGTTTTATATATTATAAATTATTGAAAATGTTAATTTTGTAAATGTAAATATAACCTATATTTAATAAAAAGAATACTACTACTATAATATGTTCCCATTGCCTTCATTAAAGCAGTTTATTTGATTTAGGTCACTAATGAAGTTGGTTAACCGTACAAAGAGCTTTCGTGCATTTCAACTTAGTTAAGAATAAATTAAGGGAAATAACATCAAAAATATCGGTTTCAGTATTATACTAAATAATTTCCCAAAAGGAAAATGATCGAAATTTAACATATTAAACACAAGACATAAAATATCAATAAACAAAAAACATATAATTTAAACAAAAAAGAGGCAAGCATTGTTTTAAATTGTTTGCTTTTTATAAATAATATTAATCACAAAATTTTTTCCAAATTTTTTTTGTTTTCCACGATCAATTAATTAATTTCTGTTAAGAATACAAAATTGAATATTTCTGCTAACAATTGAAATGTAAGTAAACAAAACTTCTCTTAGAACTTATGTGTCATAAAACTTTCTGAGACATTAAAGCTTTTTCACATGTATAAATTAACTTATACCAATCGAAACGATCAAATTTTTATTTGATTAACGCAAATTGATTGAGCGGTTGAAAGAATATGATATTATTAACATTTCCTGAAAATGTTTATTATTATTTTAAAGTTTTTCGAGAGCTTTTAGGCTTTAACGTGAGCTAAATTTATATTTGTATATCGAGATTAATTTATAACATTTTAAATACTTTGCCAGATTGTATTTAAGAGTAGTATCAAAATACTTGGCAATTACTTTGCCAAGATTATTCTAAAATTAATGACTGTTTATATGACTATTGCAGATGAAGTGTGATTTTATTCGACATTTACATTTATGAAAAATATAAATGCCTATTAACATAACTAGAATAATGCTAAATTACGCTAAAAACTTTCAATTGGGCACCAAATTTTGACAAAGTAAATCTAGAATAAATCCAGTTTTAACAATCGAAAACGCCATTAATGACAGATTTCACCTTACTATAGCAAACAAAGGAGTTTTTAAAGTTTTTTTAAATAATCAAATATATATCGTATATAGTATAAAATTTTTGAACACCTCAAACTTTTTTGCCATTTACTTTCTTGTATGTTAAATGTTAAAAAATTTTTTATATATTTTGGACGTTTTTTCAAAAAAAATTAAAAATATTCTTTTTTTGGATTTTTTTTCATACCCTCAAAAATTTATACGAAAATAGCTTAAAACTTAATTTAAAAAAGAAATATGTCAATATAGTGTAAAAAGGTCGTGACAGAGTAGTCTGAAAATAGGTTTTTGGTCTAACTGCATTTTATCATCAAAATAAGTTTGTTTTGTTTTCAAAAAGGTAGTCTTAAGTTCTAAATTACTAAATCAAGTTTTAAATATTGTAACTTTCTATATAACTTCTTTAATACATATGTATTGTTTACACTTTATAAAAGTTTTAAGATTATTTTGTTTGATGTATAACATTATTATACATATATATACTCTTGAACTATATACTCTTTTAATAAAGCATTAACACTTACCTTTTTTCACTGGTGTATCCGTAGTAATTGATGTTGATCCTGTTAACAATAGCTGTCAATGCGTTTTTGATATGAATTCATTTTTGTATATCTTTTTATATTACAAAAAAAAAATAATTCCTTTTTGTACACTTATGGCATATAACATATTAATAATAACTGTTTTTATATCTATAATTTTTAATTTATAAACCCTTTGAAATGGTTTTTTCACTACATATTTTTTTAATGATTTAATTTTTATTATTGAGCGTAGGGGATAAGCCACTGTGGAACGTAGCTAATAACATAACCCAATTTTATGTAGCAAGTAAAGTACATAGGCAGTTTCATCCCAACTTTTTATGTTTGATTTTCTTTTTCCTTATATCTGTTCTGCGAAATGCAACACTGATTTTATGAAAACTATAATTATTTGGCTTTCTATTTTTTAAATGTAAATTCATAAGTTTTAACTAAATATTTTTGATTATAACGTTTATATTTAAAAGTTTATAACGTTTATATATACAAGTACAATAAATATTCTATTGTACAGTATTAAAAATTATACTAAATTTTAATATCAAACTCCTAAAATTATTTATTTTATTATTAATTATGTTAATGACACTTTCACTTTGTTGTTGTAAATATTATATTACATATTATTATAAGCATTCATAAAGTTTTTTAATATTCTCAATTAAATTATATGTATATGTACATATTATTATGTACAATTATGTATGTAAAATTTTTTTTTATGCATAACTTTTTTTTGTACATTCATGTAAATGTACTCATTTCTATCAATATTAATAAAAATTTTATTAATTTATACACTCTTATTAAAATAATATTTATTAAATAATATTTAAACGTGAAACAATTTCTAATATTAACTTAACTCCAGTTGCCAACAGAGGCGCTTCAAGAACTGAAATTCTTTTTCATTTTCTATTCAAATTCATTGACAAATTCCACCAAAAATGATTTTGCAGTTATTAAAAACCTGTTCGCATTAAAAAAAGTGTGACGTATTTGAACGAAAATCAAAACAAAGAACAAAAATAGTAGAAAAACATGCAAAATAAAATAAATATTAAATAAAAAAAAAAAGAAACGTTTTCTTTGCGTTGCAATTATGTCCGAAGAGGAGTGCAATTAGACTGAAGTGTGGCGATTCACTTTTAACGAAAGTAACAATTACACATACATATGTATGTATTTGTTGTTTTTTTTTTTGCTATTTGCATAAAAAAAAACAATTAGAATTGTGCCATTTCTTTGTCATTACTTATTTATTAATTTAACAGTGCATTTAAATTAAAAAATGTGAATTAGTAATATGATTGGAACACCAATTATTATTTTTATTTATTTTTATTCTCAAATAATGAGAAACCATTTGTTTTAGAAATATGTACATACCAATCCCTTACCTCGCTAATTAGTCAATAACACATTTGATACATTTAGCACAATGGTTACCGTTTCGCATCTTATCACGTAAGTTGTTATTTTTGCATCAACACAACTAATAACATCCCTAACGTTTTTATAGAGTTCGATATTAACATACTATGTGAAATTTACATATTATGTTATATTGTAACAGTAACATTTAATTTTAATTTTATAAAATGTTAAAAACTTAAACAATAGATGTATTCAGCCGCCCCGTAGTGCAGCAAAAAACAAGAAATCTCTTGTTAAAAAGACTTCTTGTCGTATTGGCGTCACTGGTAATATCTGTCAAATATTATGTTTTGAAAATTATTAAGTGATATATATAATAAGTAAAATCTAAGGCAAAGTAAATTTTATATAAATTTAAATGTTTATTAAAATATTTGTTCTAATATAACACAGCAAGTGGATTTGTTAATAAAAACTTTCGCAGCAAATTAACAAAACTCCAAAGAAATGTGCGAATGTAAAAGTCAACTGTGGCGTTGGGTCAGTTGGCTAATGAACGCTGACTCTGAGCATCAAATTTGGCAGGGCACAACAGCTGTATGGTCAACGAAAAATTCAATTAATTAAGATAATATAAAAAGAATTTTTGTTGTTGTGGTTCACTACTTTTTGAAAAACCTCTTTAAAAAATTACAAATTATATATGTTCTCTTACATTCTCTAAATCTACGTTCTAATTATGCTTTCTTCATGTATTCTTTAAAATGTTTGTATATGTTATTTATTTTTTTTTATAAATTATACATTTTTATTTATATTTATTATTTTTTATATTTGTTTTTTAAAAGTTTAAAATTTTTATTTTTAAAAGTATAAAGAATATAATTTGAATAGCTTTATTAAAAATGTGTGAATAGTCATATTCGATTGTTCAGTTTATATGAAAGTTATAAAATGTAATAGTTGTATTTGGATTCACTTCAACATAATTCAAAAATTATTGAACTAGTTTAAACTGAAACAAACAGACAGACAAGGTTCAATAACCTTAATTCGTCGAGGTGATCATGACTATATATACTCTATATTAGAATATATTATAAAAAAAAAGATCATTTATAATTTAAGTAATTACAGTTCTTGTTAATTTCTTACGGTACTCTTAGAAATTCATCTGAGCCTTGAATTGAAATAGTTATACTTATTGAAATCAATTCATATCATTTTTGAATTTCACTATATAAACTCCTTTAAAACTATTTGTTTTTAAATAAAAATAAATACAACTTAAATTGTAATAGAATTATTGATTAAAAAGAAAAGTGATTTCTATTACAATACCATGAAAAACTCTTATTGTTGAGCTATGCCAGCAATGTCATATGACAGATTATGTCGAAACAGTCAATACGGCTGTATGGTACATGTAAAAAAAAGTGTGAGGACCACACTTCTTAAAAGAGCTTAAAATTTAGAAACCGCAAAATTTGAAAAACAACAAAATTCTAATACTTTCTTTCTAATACGATTATAAAAATATTGGTTATTTCTGGATTATACTTATGCAGTTATTAAAAATATAAACAGTTATACGGGTTCTTCACATCTATTTTATCAGAATAATAGTAAAAATAATACAGAAAGAATAAGTTATTATATTTTCAACTGCAAAAAAGTATATTTTTCAAATTAAATATAAAATTTTTATTTATTTTTAACTAAACTTAATTTAAATCAAAATACAAGTATAAAAAAATAACAATATATTCGTTTATTTAAATAATTTTGTTTAAATATTTATAAATAGCATCACGTTTTGTTTTTTGCAAATACACTTAAAAAAAATAACAGCTTATTTTGGAATAAACTTTTCTCATCTGCGTCTAATCCATCCGGCATTCTTGAAGATTTTGAATACCATCTCTCGTGGTATTTTTTCTGCTTCACGATCTATTACTGGACTTTCCTTGTCCGTAAACCATGATTCCTTTGCTAAGGCAGCTGCAATATGTGGGTTCTTATAGAAACGTTCACTCTTAAGCAATTCTGATGGAAGTTGTGATTCACGATATGAGTTCTCTACTACTGATGGATGTGCATATTGCTGTGATGTAGCTAAGCCAATGCTTGGTGCTATATGATAATGTTGTGGGTGAGCTTCTTGCGCATGAAAGGGATATTGTAAACGTGATGGTTGATGAAAATAGAATTGCGCTTGACTCAGAGTAGCTAAAACTAAAAGTAGTACGCAAGTGTAGTAGTTCATGTTACTAAAAGAAAAAAAATTTAATTAGTTTTTATAAATATATATGTTTTCATATAGTTTAACATAGAAAAATTTAAATTTGAAATAATATAACAATAATTGTACCATATTACTAGGTAGAGAGACATTTTTTAACAAGACTTATAGAGAAATTTAATGGACATATAGATCTATGTATTTAGAGTTCAATGTACAAATCGACGCTTATATATTCAGTCATATTTAAAAATTGTTTTGATCTTAAGCTCTTTAATATTAAGTACATAGATATGAGTAGCAAGAACCAGATTAAAATATATAAAAAATATGTTGTGTTATAGATTTTTTGAGAACTTATCTCTTTGAGAAGAAGTAGATATTAATAGCAAGTATCAGATTAAGATATCTAGGATATATAATAAATGTTGGTTAGAATTCATGCCTTAGTATTAAACATTACGATTTTGATAGTTCAAAACAATATTATATTTTTTTTAAAATCTATTAATTCTTTTAATTAATTATTTTCTTTATTTAAATAATTTGAATAATTTAAATAATTTAAAAATAATAAAATATACATTTTAAAATTATTTTTAAATTTCATTACAGTATATGTTATGTGTTTTATAGGCTTCTTTATTACATTCATACCATCTTTTTTAAAATCTTTTTCAACTCTGAGTGAATAATAATGCATTCAGTTCTGCTTCATTAATTTAAACTACTATGAAATCAAATCATTAATTTATAATAAAATTTAAGTATAAAATCCACAAATGTTTAACACTTTAATATTTATAAATTAATAAAGAGAGAACTGCAAGTCACTTTGCAGTCGGCTGATGCCTAACTAAAGGTGTCCGGGTGACTTTATAAAGTTGATACTTCCAGCCAAAATATAATTAATAATTTTAAACACGTTTCATTTTATTTTATTTTTTTGAATAAAAGCTTAAATATAACAATTAATTTAATATCTCAATCGATTTGATGTGCTGGAAGCGCTTTTTTAAATTAAGAGACCGGCTACGTTTGTGTTTTGCAAACATTGGCGGAAGGCGGTTTCAATAGTGTTTTTATTAGTTAATAAATTCTTTAAAATCATTATGTCTTTTAATAACAAAATTTAAACACTTTATTTGTAGTAACACTAATTGAAAAATGAATTGATTAAATAATGCAATAAAAATATTTTTTATGGAGATATAAAGATTCGTTGTCGTCATTTGGCATGAGGCTTGACACATGATTCAGCGAAATTTTATTTAAAACAAATATCATATAAATACAAATATAAACTACACTTCTTATGTGTCATAAATCATTTAAATAAATTAAGAAAAAAATTGCAATGAAAAATAATATTATTTTAAAAATATTTAAAAACCATATATCATTTATATTTAATAGTATTTATTAGAAGTGAGCTTTATCTAGTCATAGGGAATAAATTTAAAAACAAATATTGAAATAATATTTGAAGAAATATATAAGAAATAAAATAAAAAATAAAGAAATAAAAATATAAATAATGAAATAATGAAATAATGACGTTTTGTGTGATTTTGTGCATTTAAACATTTTATGATTTATATGCAAATATCTAATTCTTTTTCTAAGGTCACTTGAGATACTCGTATATACTATATATTTTTTCAGAATATATTTAAACTATAAATGCATATATGTGCACCTAATTTTCTTAATCTGTTGTCTGAGTCAGTGTCCAAATTTAACAAGATGGATCTGTTTCAACAGACAGAATGACGGGTGTGCTTGGAATCGGATGAGATCTGGGCCAAGAGGAAACTGCTGTGTCAGGAGACTATATTCTCCGCTGAAGTTAAGATGTTCTTAATTGCTGACATTTTGGGTTTCAATCGAAAAGCAGAGTGTCTCTTTTTTTTCAGTTTTTTCAATAACACAAAACCTCAATCATGGTCGTAGTGTTCTGCTCTCTAGGAGTCAATAGAGCGTTTATTTTCTATTTACAGCTACTCTTTTAAAATAGAGTAGGTGCATTTTAAAGACATATCTATTTAAAATAAGTATTAAAAATATGATTTTTTAAAATTATGTTTAAGTATATTGTTTTGATTTTTACATTTTTAACTATAAAATTTTCATTCCAAAGTTTTTAGTTTGGATGAACACGAGTTGAGTTTAACCTGATTTACAGGGTCTCCTAATCAAATTATCAGAAGCTTATTTAAAATTATATTCTAAGCGTTACAGCATAATACTATTTACAAATTTATCTTAGTTACTGTTAATTTACACAATTTTTCATTAGATTTTTTTTGTCTTTATTTTTCAGTATATATTTTTAGTTAAGTATTAATATTACATATTTATAAACACAACTGTTTTTGAATTACCTATAAACAATATTTATTTTTTTATTGTTTTCTTTTAGTCACTTTATTATTCACTGACTAATTATTATTAATGTGTTTTATACAGTATGTTAGATTAGAGATTATCAGATTATTTGCTCTTAAAACCCTACGTTTACCATATGTAAATTAACACTTTTAACGATAGTACTTCCTATTATTTAAATTAGATACGTCATTATATAAGTCAAAGTATACAACCGGCTTTTTGTTTTTTTACCGTCAATTACAATATTCATGTTTTTACACTATTTTATAACTTAGAAAATTTTTAGAAGAATAATTTTTATATAAAAATCTGTTTATAGTATGTTCCCATTGCCCGATTGACGGCGAATGCCATAATCGTATAAGGATAAATTAGATACTATGTAAATGAAGTTAGGTTTTTCTTATTATTTCTTATAATTATTTATAATATTTATGTTTTATATATTATAAATTATTGAAAATGTTAATTTTGTAAATGTAAATATAACCTATATTTAATAAAAAGAATACTACTACTATAATATGTTCCCATTGCCTTCATTAAAGCAGTTTATTTGATTTAGGTCACTAATGAAGTTGGTTAACCGTACAAAGAGCTTTCGTGCATTTCAACTTAGTTAAGAATAAATTAAGGGAAATAACATCAAAAATATCGGTTTCAGTATTATACTAAATAATTTCCCAAAAGGAAAATGATCGAAATTTAACATATTAAACACAAGACATAAAATATCAATAAACAAAAAACATATAATTTAAACAAAAAAGAGGCAAGCATTGTTTTAAATTGTTTGCTTTTTATAAATAATATTAATCACAAAATTTTTTCCAAATTTTTTTTGTTTTCCACGATCAATTAATTAATTTCTGTTAAGAATACAAAATTGAATATTTCTGCTAACAATTGAAATGTAAGTAAACAAAACTTCTCTTAGAACTTATGTGTCATAAAACTTTCTGAGACATTAAAGCTTTTTCACATGTATAAATTAACTTATACCAATCGAAACGATCAAATTTTTATTTGATTAACGCAAATTGATTGAGCGGTAGAAAGAATATGATATTATTAACATTTCCTGAAAATGTTTATTATTATTTTAAAGTTTTTCGAGAGCTTTTAGGCTTTAACGTGAGCTAAATTTATATTTGTATATCGAGATTAATTTATAACATTTTAAATACTTTGCCAGATTGTATTTAAGAGTAGTATCAAAATACTTGGCAATTACTTTGCCAAGATTATTCTAAAATTAATGACTGTTTATATGACTATTGCAGATGAAGTGTGATTTTATTCGACATTTACATTTATGAAAAATATAAATGCCTATTAACATAACTAGAATAATGCTAAATTACGCTAAAAACTTTCAATTGGGCACCAAATTTTGACAAAGTAAATCTAGAATAAATCCAGTTTTAACAATCGAAAACGCCATTAATGACAGATTTCACCTTACTATAGCAAACAAAGGAGTTTTTAAAGTTTTTTTAAATAATCAAATATATATCGTATATAGTATAAAATTTTTGAACACCTCAAACTTTTTTGCCATTTACTTTCTTGTATGTTAAATGTTAAAAAATTTTTTATATATTTTGGACGTTTTTTCAAAAAAAATTAAAAATATTCTTTTTTTGGATTTTTTTTCATACCCTCAAAAATTTATACGAAAATAGCTTAAAACTTAATTTAAAAAAGAAATATGTCAATATAGTGTAAAAAGGTCGTGACAGAGTAGTCTGAAAATAGGTTTTTGGTCTAACTGCATTTTATCATCAAAATAAGTTTGTTTTGTTTTCAAAAAGGTAGTCTTAAGTTCTAAATTACTAAATCAAGTTTTAAATATTGTAACTTTCTATATAACTTCTTTAATACATATGTATTGTTTACACTTTATAAAAGTTTTAAGATTATTTTGTTTGATGTATAACATTATTATACATATATATACTCTTGAACTATATACTCTTTTAATAAAGCATTAACACTTACCTTTTTTCACTGGTGTATCCGTAGTAATTGATGTTGATCCTGTTAACAATAGCTGTCAATGCGTTTTTGATATGAATTCATTTTTGTATATCTTTTTATATTACAAAAAAAAAATAATTCCTTTTTGTACACTTATGGCATATAACATATTAATAATAACTGTTTTTATATCTATAATTTTTAATTTATAAACCCTTTGAAATGGTTTTTTCACTACATATTTTTTTAATGATTTAATTTTTATTATTGAGCGTAGGGGATAAGCCACTGTGGAACGTAGCTAATAACATAACCCAATTTTATGTAGCAAGTAAAGTACATAGGCAGTTTCATCCCAACTTTTTATGTTTGATTTTCTTTTTCCTTATATCTGTTCTGCGAAATGCAACACTGATTTTATGAAAACTATAATTATTTGGCTTTCTATTTTTTAAATGTAAATTCATAAGTTTTAACTAAATATTTTTGATTATAACGTTTATATTTAAAAGTTTATAACGTTTATATATACAAGTACAATAAATATTCTATTGTACAGTATTAAAAATTATACTAAATTTTAATATCAAACTCCTAAAATTATTTATTTTATTATTAATTATGTTAATGACACTTTCACTTTGTTGTTGTAAATATTATATTACATATTATTATAAGCATTCATAAAGTTTTTTAATATTCTCAATTAAATTATATGTATATGTACATATTATTATGTACAATTATGTATGTAAAATTTTTTTTTATGCATAACTTTTTTTTGTACATTCATGTAAATGTACTCATTTCTATCAATATTAATAAAAATTTTATTAATTTATACACTCTTATTAAAATAATATTTATTAAATAATATTTAAACGTGAAACAATTTCTAATATTAACTTAACTCCAGTTGCCAACAGAGGCGCTTCAAGAACTGAAATTCTTTTTCATTTTCTATTCAAATTCATTGACAAATTCCACCAAAAATGATTTTGCAGTTATTAAAAACCTGTTCGCATTAAAAAAAGTGTGACGTATTTGAACGAAAATCAAAACAAAGAACAAAAATAGTAGAAAAACATGCAAAATAAAATAAATATTAAATAAAAAAAAAAAGAAACGTTTTCTTTGCGTTGCAATTATGTCCGAAGAGGAGTGCAATTAGACTGAAGTGTGGCGATTCACTTTTAACGAAAGTAACAATTACACATACATATGTATGTATTTGTTGTTTTTTTTTTTGCTATTTGCATAAAAAAAAACAATTAGAATTGTGCCATTTCTTTGTCATTACTTATTTATTAATTTAACAGTGCATTTAAATTAAAAAATGTGAATTAGTAATATGATTGGAACACCAATTATTATTTTTATTTATTTTTATTCTCAAATAATGAGAAACCATTTGTTTTAGAAATATGTACATACCAATCCCTTACCTCGCTAATTAGTCAATAACACATTTGATACATTTAGCACAATGGTTACCGTTTCGCATCTTATCACGTAAGTTGTTATTTTTGCATCAACACAACTAATAACATCCCTAACGTTTTTATAGAGTTCGATATTAACATACTATGTGAAATTTACATATTATGTTATATTGTAACAGTAACATTTAATTTTAATTTTATAAAATGTTAAAAACTTAAACAATAGATGTATTCAGCCGCCCCGTAGTGCAGCAAAAAACAAGAAATCTCTTGTTAAAAAGACTTCTTGTCGTATTGGCGTCACTGGTAATATCTGTCAAATATTATGTTTTGAAAATTATTAAGTGATATATATAATAAGTAAAATCTAAGGCAAAGTAAATTTTATATAAATTTAAATGTTTATTAAAATATTTGTTCTAATATAACACAGCAAGTGGATTTGTTAATAAAAACTTTCGCAGCAAATTAACAAAACTCCAAAGAAATGTGCGAATGTAAAAGTCAACTGTGGCGTTGGGTCAGTTGGCTAATGAACGCTGACTCTGAGCATCAAATTTGGCAGGGCACAACAGCTGTATGGTCAACGAAAAATTCAATTAATTAAGATAATATAAAAAGAATTTTTGTTGTTGTGGTTCACTACTTTTTGAAAAACCTCTTTAAAAAATTACAAATTATATATGTTCTCTTACATTCTCTAAATCTACGTTCTAATTATGCTTTCTTCATGTATTCTTTAAAATGTTTGTATATGTTATTTATTTTTTTTTATAAATTATACATTTTTATTTATATTTATTATTTTTTATATTTGTTTTTTAAAAGTTTAAAATTTTTATTTTTAAAAGTATAAAGAATATAATTTGAATAGCTTTATTAAAAATGTGTGAATAGTCATATTCGATTGTTCAGTTTATATGAAAGTTATAAAATGTAATAGTTGTATTTGGATTCACTTCAACATAATTCAAAAATTATTGAACTAGTTTAAACTGAAACAAACAGACAGACAAGGTTCAATAACCTTAATTCGTCGAGGTGATCATGACTATATATACTCTATATTAGAATATATTATAAAAAAAAAGATCATTTATAATTTAAGTAATTACAGTTCTTGTTAATTTCTTACGGTACTCTTAGAAATTCATCTGAGCCTTGAATTGAAATAGTTATACTTATTGAAATCAATTCATATCATTTTTGAATTTCACTATATAAACTCCTTTAAAACTATTTGTTTTTAAATAAAAATAAATACAACTTAAATTGTAATAGAATTATTGATTAAAAAGAAAAGTGATTTCTATTACAATACCATGAAAAACTCTTATTGTTGAGCTATGCCAGCAATGTCATATGACAGATTATGTCGAAACAGTCAATACGGCTGTATGGTACATGTAAAAAAAAGTGTGAGGACCACACTTCTTAAAAGAGCTTAAAATTTAGAAACCGCAAAATTTGAAAAACAACAAAATTCTAATACTTTCTTTCTAATACGATTATAAAAATATTGGTTATTTCTGGATTATACTTATGCAGTTATTAAAAATATAAACAGTTATACGGGTTCTTCACATCTATTTTATCAGAATAATAGTAAAAATAATACAGAAAGAATAAGTTATTATATTTTCAACTGCAAAAAAGTATATTTTTCAAATTAAATATAAAATTTTTATTTATTTTTAACTAAACTTAATTTAAATCAAAATACAAGTATAAAAAAATAACAATATATTCGTTTATTTAAATAATTTTGTTTAAATATTTATAAATAGCATCACGTTTTGTTTTTTGCAAATACACTTAAAAAAAATAACAGCTTATTTTGGAATAAACTTTTCTCATCTGCGTCTAATCCATCCGGCATTCTTGAAGATTTTGAATACCATCTCTCGTGGTATTTTTTCTGCTTCACGATCTATTACTGGACTTTCCTTGTCCGTAAACCATGATTCCTTTGCTAAGGCAGCTGCAATATGTGGGTTCTTATAGAAACGTTCACTCTTAAGCAATTCTGATGGAAGTTGTGATTCACGATATGAGTTCTCTACTACTGATGGATGTGCATATTGCTGTGATGTAGCTAAGCCAATGCTTGGTGCTATATGATAATGTTGTGGGTGAGCTTCTTGCGCATGAAAGGGATATTGTAAACGTGATGGTTGATGAAAATAGAATTGCGCTTGACTCAGAGTAGCTAAAACTAAGAGTAGTACGCAAGTGTAGTAGTTCATGTTACTAAAAGAAAAAAAATTTAATTAGTTTTTATAAATATAAATGTTTTCATATAGTTTAACATAGAAAAATTTAAATTCAAAATAATATAACAATAATTGTACCATATTACTAGGTATGTATTTAGAGTTCAATGTACAAATCGACGCTTATATATTCAGTCATATTTAAAAATTGTTTTGATCTTAAGCTCTTCAATATTAAACATAGATATGAGTAGCAAGAACCAGATTAAAATACATAAAAAATATGTTGTGTTATAGATTTTTTGAGAACTTATCTCTTTGAGAAGAAGTAGATATTAATAGCAAGTATCAGATTAAGATATCTAGGATATATAATAAATGTTAGTTAGAATTCATGTCTTAGTATTAAACATTACGATTTTGATAGTTCAAAACAATATTATATTTTTTTTAAAATCTATTAATTCTTTTAATTAATTATTTTCTTTATTTAAATAATTTGAATAATTTAAATAATTTAAAAATAATAAAATATACATTTTAAAATTATTTTTAAATTTCATTACAGTATATGTTATGTGTTTTATAGACTTCTTTATTACATTCGTATCATCTTTTTCAAGATCTTTTTCAACTCTGAGTGAATAATAATGCATTTAGTTATGCTTCATTAATTTAAACTACTATGAAATCAAATCATTAATTTATAATAAAATTTAAGTATAAAATCTACAAATGTTTAACACTTTAATATTTATAAATTAATAAAGAGAGAACTGCAAGTCACTTTGCAGTCGGCTGATGCCTAACTAAAGGTGTCCGGGTGACTTTATAAAGTTGATACTTCCCGCCAAAATACAATTAATAATTTTAAACACGTTTCATTTTATTTTATTTTTTTTGAATAAAAGCTTAAATATAACAATTAATTTAATATCTCAATCGATTTGCTGTGCTGGAAGCGCTTTTTTGAATCAAGAGACCGGCTACGTTTGTGTTTTGCAATCATTGGCGGAAGGCGGTTTCAATAGTGTTTTTATTAGTTAATAAATTCTTTAAAATCATTATGTCTTTTAATAACAAAATTTAAACACTTTATTTGTAGTAACACTAATTGAAAAATGAATTGATTAAATAATGCAATAAAAATATTTTTTATGGAGATATAAAGATTCGTTGTCGTCATTTGGCATGAGGCTTGACACATGATTCAGCGAAATTTTATTTAAAACAAATATCATATAAATACAAATATAAACTACACTTCTTATGTGTCATAAATCATTTAAATAAATTAAGAAAAAAATTGCAATGAAAAATAATATTATTTTAAAAATATTTAAAAACCATATATCATTTATATTTAATAGTATTTATTAGAAGTGAGCTTTATCTAGTCATAGGGAATAAATTTAAAAACAAATATTGAAATAATATTTGAAGAAATATATAAGAAATAAAATAAAAAATAAAGAAATA